TTGCTTTCACCTTGTAGGTTCTTGGCTCTGCCCTCTGAGTCAGTCTTTATACTCCACTAAGGACAAAAAAAAGCTTTATTTGCAACCAAATAGCCTCCTCTCTCGGCCTGTGTACTGTCTGTAGTGCTGGGGGTTCAAAGTCCACTTTTCACTCTGTACTGTGTCCAGTTTTTTAATCCAATTTGGTGGTTCCTACTCCAGAACAATTCTCTTAAAAACTTTGTGGGTTTCCTATGAGTCCACAAATGCAAGTATACTTTTTCTCTACTTTAGAATCCCTATGAGATCCCTCAAGGTGACATTCTTATGATTCATAGAAGCCCAGCTGTTTAATGGAGAGGATTTGTAAAGCATACTCTTAAGATGCTTAGAGGGCCTTTGTGTATCTAAAAAGTTCTAGGAGCCACTGCCTTAGATTCTTCTGAACTCCTAACGAAGGATTTTATAATTCAGCTCTGGATTATTATTTGCCCTAAAGCCATTTCTCAAGTTGAGAATTGTTTACTCAATTGTTTACTTACTTAAGGAAGGAGGCACTAAAGAAAGGAGGTTTGTGGTGGGAAAGGAGCAAAGGAACAGGAAGCATGGGGTAAGGTGGCAGTGATAAATATAATTTCAAAGAAGCCCAGTTTGAGGGGGGCTGTGCTGAGAATTTTATAAGATGTAAGACTAGGGAGGCATATTGCTAGGGGAGTTAACTATGTTTGCTTATCGGATTATATAAATTGTATTAAGCAAAGAAGGTTGGATTGTTTGGGAGAATAGATAGCTGAAAGAAAGAAAAGATTATAGGTATTTTTCCTTTTTGTTCAGTGCCATTTTATGAACTGGTTAAGTAGCATGTTCTGTCCTCCTCCAAGGTGATGGTCCCTGGAAAGAGTTTATGAACTAAATCAAACAGCAGAGACTTGTAGGGGAAAAAAACAGATCCAGGACTTAAAGAGACTACTAAATTCAGGGTGGAGCTAACTTTTTAGACCCTGGCTCAGAAGGCCTAAATTGGATTGTTTAATTGGTATAGGAACCAATGAAAGTCTTTTCTCATTATTTAAATAGAAAAGTTCCCCTCACATTTACAGTATGAGTCAGAGGGTGTTATTTTTCCCAAATCAATTCCTAAGTATTATTCTTAATAAAAGTCTATAATTTATGGATCTGAAAGTTCCATTTTAAGTTGAATGGAAAGCTTAGTTTAAAGTAGGAGGTATCTAGAAATAACAAGTGTTGGCGAGGATGTGGAGAAAAGGGAGCCCTCACACATTGTTGGTGGGAAAGTAAATTGGTGCAACTACTATAAAAAATAGTATGGAAGTTCCTCAAAAACTTAAAAATGAAAATATCATATGATCTAGTAATTTGACTTCTGGGTATTTACCTGAAGAAAACAGAAACACTAATTCAAAAAGATTTATACACTCCTATGTTTATTGCAGCATTATTTACAATAGCCAAGATATGGAAGCAACCTAAGTGTCCATTGATAGATGAATGGATAAAGGAGATGTGGTGTGTGTGTGTGTGTGTGTGTGTGTGTGTATTTATATATAACGAAGTATTACTCAACCATAAAAAGACTGAAATCTTGCCATTTGTGACAATATAGACTAAGGGTATTATGCTAAGTGAAGTAAGTCAGACAGAGACAACTACTATATAATTTTACTTATATGTGGATTCTAAAAAACAAACAAATAAGCAAACACACAATAATAACAAAAAATGTGGAAACAGACTCATAAATATAGAGAATAAACTGGTGGTTACCAGAGGGGGGGCGTGGGGGATGGACAAAGTAGGCAAAAGGGATTAAGAGGTACAGATTTCTAGTTATAAAATAAATAGGTCATGAAGATGAAAAGTACAGAGTGGGGAATATAGTCAATAGTATTGTAGTAACATTGTATAGTGGCAGTAACATTATGATGGTGAGTACTGAGTGATACAGAGTTATCAAATCACTGTGTGTGTTGCACACCTGAAATCAATATTGAAACCAATATATTATATGTCAACTATACTTTAAATTAAAAATAAATAAAATTGTTAATATGATAAAAAATAGACAAACATATATGTAAACACGTGTGTATCTTACCATGAAAAGAGAAGTTATGCTCAGAGAGAAGAATGTTGTAGAATAATATGGAAAGCATATTCCTTTTTGTGGTGTAAAAAGTGTGTGCCTATATCACATATATGTTCATATATTCTTGGGAAATGAAGAAATCACAAAATTAAGAGCAGTCAGCTTTGGATAATGGGAAAGCAGGGACGGGAGCTTTTAAACTGTGCTTCTGCTGTTCGTGACCCATTGCACAGTTTCCATTTTTTTCACATTGCAAACGATTCTGCAGTGAATATTCTGGTATATCCATTGTTGTAACAGAGAGAGGGTGTGACTTAATAGCGTGGCCAGATCGAGGAGCTACGATAGCATCGGGAATCTGCCTTTCACATCTTCGACTTTGTTTTTCTCTTGATTGGCTTCATTTTTAGACAACTCACCCCAGGTGGTAGCACATATGTTAACCAGCAGTTCTAGGCTGACATTCTATGAACTTCACAACCTCTTTCACGTTATCAGCAAAAGTAGTGTTGCCTGTCACTGGGCCAGCTGGGTGGTGTGCCCATCCTCGACCCTATCACTGAAGTTCTGTAGATTGTTTACACTGGTTGGTCAGGCCTGGCTCACATGCCCACTTCTGGGGCCAGGTCAGCATGAGGGGACAGATGGGTGACTTGCCAAATAAAAATCAGGATGATGATACCAGAAGGAGGAGACATATGTGCCAGTGAGACAAATATATCAGTGTCTCCTACAAATGTCTTACAGATAATATTTTATGTTTCTGTGAGTAGGAGATGAATAGACATCCTAATGGTATCCCGGTTTAACTTATAAGGACCAAAGTATTCTTATAAGTATCTTTCAAATCTCAGCTAGTATAATGAAACAAGCACATTGCTTATACTATTGTATGTGAAAATAAAGCACGTCATAGGTTGAAGATCATTAACATTATGAAAAAGACGTAATTTTTCCAACTCAGGAAGTGGTGTTCAATATATTTGCTAAAAGTTCAGTGATATCTTTTCTATGATAAATACCTTGTCTTTTTTTTAAGATCTTTCTTTCTTTCTTTCTCTTTCTTTCTTTCTTTCTTTCTTTCTTCCTTTATCAGAATGAGAGAGAGAGAGAAAGAGAGCACAAGCAGGGGGAGCAGCAGGCAGAGGAAGAAGCAGGCTCCTCACTGAACAAGGGACCTGAGCCCAAAGCAGACTCTTAACTGACTGAGCCACCCAGGCGTCCCAATAAATACCTTGTCTTAGAACACTTTTTAAATATTGTATTGTTTGTCAAACTATAGCCTAAATTCTATATTTAATTTATTTATT